CTATTCCTCAGCGACGTCTCTTTTTGTTCAGCTCTCAACTTCCGTCCCTCAATGCTAGTTTAAAGAATGCCGCCGACGATCATACTAGAAACTTACCAGTACTCGGAATACTCCAGATACATGAAGTATTTGGCAGTCTTTACAGTGGTCATGGCTGACCGATAGTGCTTCTGTGATCTCCCCAAGGGATTGTCCCCTTTTTATTAGGCCCCTTTTGTGAGATCATCTGTAGCGGCACTCCATTGTTCACAGATTATTTCGTATTCCTTTCAGAACAGAATGACAAAATTCGGGTGGCGTGTTAAACGAAGACTGCCACAGTGACTATCGTAACTCTCCCCCACAGCCCTCTGAATCGCTACAGTTTGCTAGTGCTGATCGAACAACGTGATCTGGACCTTGATGAGCTGTTCCTACTACCCCGTCTACTCTTTGTCACAGCCCTGATTTATCCGCTGCCCAATATCCCTATCGACCTACTTTGTAATTTCGGGTCACCGTAAGGTCGAATAGTGATGGAAGCCTTGTTGAGCTCGTCATGCTGTTCTGCACTGACGAAGGTTCAGAATTCCGGTGTAACCTCTTCTAATCAAAGGTGAAAACTCCTTGTTGAGAAATATTATGCTATCCATCATTCTGCGAGCATCCACAGGAAGGATGTGGACAGAAAAGTGAGACAGCACACTAGAAGCTCAATGTAACAATAGAGTCGACCGTTTGGAGTGGCTCAGAATTGTGGAAGAACCCTCACGGAGCATGTATGATTGCATGAAGTTGTCAAGAGTATGTTGTAACCGTTTGTTATATCTAACTGCTTTCCCCACTCAAGTAAGCTTGTGTCGGAAAAAGACTCTCCCACAAAGAACACAATAGCTTTATTGCAAACAAGCATGTGAAAAATTTACGAAGGCCTCGAGCTATTTAAAGGGAACTTTTTGACATTGATCCAGGCTGCCTGATCGGCATCTCGTGGACATTCATCAACATCAACCGTGCTTCTATGGAACGGCTGAACGCTGATCATTTTTGGTCGTGCTTCTGTAGCATGCCTGAGTACTCATGGGCTTTTGCTGAATTGATTGAGCGGTTGACTGGACTGGATGCTTGCTGGCTTCCTTACTGATATTTTACTGGAGTTTTAGGGCCTCAATAGGTTCCGGGCATTCTGGGGTTATTTTCAAGAATCTTCACTTCCTGACAGCGTCCCTTGGCCAAATCTTGCTTCTACCAACGAGGAATGCTACCCACTTACAGAGAAAAGGCGGTGGTTTCCTTTGTTATCATATCCAAGAACCATTTCAGTACTATCTGACTTCATCCAGAGCAATTAGGTTGAACTGAATCCCTCACCTTCCCACTTGTGCCAACAAGAGGATAGTAGCTTGCTCGATTTTACATTGATGCACGTTTTAACGTTTTTCTAAACAACTTACATCTCACCTGTGGTGTACGAATGATTACTCGTAGTTCCACTACTGTCAAAGCGCAACCAAAGACGAGTCTTCCACGATAACAACCTCTGGTTTTGTGAATGCGAAAGTAAGCTTCAGTTGCAATGATACCCTCACCTGTTGACAAGGTGGTACAATCTATTGGTTCAGCTATGACGGAGGTGACCTATACGTGTCAACCATGTCTTCACAGATCTTTCAGCAACGTCGCTCTTCGTAACCCATCGTACAACAGCAGAACCTTTATGCTTTCTTGGAGCACATCCAACTGGTTCCATCACCTTGTGCACGTTCAGCATCTGTGTCACACCACTCAACGGAAGGAATGAAAACATGAGTTATGTGAGCATGTAAAAACGTGGTGGACTCGACTCAGCGAGCTGCTGATACAGTCAGAGCGGATGAACTCCATGGCCTGATGACTGATCTCGCATGTTACATTCATCTCCACAATGGACATGCTGACTATTTAACGACAGACGTGGAATTAAGACCACTTTTTAACAAACATTTTGTCCGCTCTCAGAAATCTCAGTAACCCATTACCTGTTATTTCTTTTGGGCACTCATCAGTATTCATTATACAAAAGTGCACCAAATTTTGGGGACCCTTCCGATGCACTCACTGGAGGGCGTTGATGGTCGAATGGCTCACACCTAGAGAGACATTGAAAAAAAGATAATAGTGGGACCAGCAGCTAGTACCCGTGCTGTTCATCGTACATGAATTCTCACCTCTTGTCAGTGACTGATCAGACACCGACTTCGTCGAACATTCCCACGAAGTTGTGAACACTAATTACTGGTTTCTGTCACCTGGCCACGAAATATTCATGGTCTATCCGATTTGCAGTTTGTTATATATCATAACACCCTGGGCGCTTGCCTGCCAAACCTCGACAGCCCACTGTTCTTGTCTTAATGATCACTTCCTGCATGATCCAACTTCCAGACTTCGAAAGTTCACATCACACCCTGTGACGTCATCTATCGCCGATCACGATCTCATACTGTCAGCCCTTTGTTTTCTCAGTCTATGACTGAAATTAAGTCCGTCAATACCATTCTTTGGGGTCAAATACTGAGTTTAAACAAACTGATCAGGCTGACGGAGTTCGTCTCCATATCACTTTTCTATCGCTCACTTACCGGCTTGAAACGACGTTGCCGCTAATATCGCAAGGCTAGCCGGACAATTCCAGAGGGCACTTCTCCGAAAAAGAGTCAATTACCGAGGGCGTGAATAATACTGGTGTTGCGAACTATCGTGCAGCATATTCCACTACGACCTATAATGATGTACATTGTCAATGAGTCTTACACTGGAAAGCTGTGGAGAGAGAGTCGCCAGTGTTGTGAAAATGGGTGCAGAAAAGTATCTTTTTAGACTCGTCTTTGCAACGACAAAAGACAAATTGCTGATCATTCAACGGAGACTAGTGGCTGCGCTAGGCTCCAAGTCAGCCGATTTGTCCTTATGCTTCTGTCCTGCCCCCTTGAGTATTTTCACTTGCTTTCATCCTATTTCGAACGTATATCTTAAGCCGTTTGATCGATACTTCTTCAAAGCGTTCACTTCATTCAAGGATTTCGCAAACCACTAATGCAAAATCTTGACCTTCCGCATTCCAACAAACCACAGAATAATGCTATCCTTGGCGACCACTTTGTGCCCAGTGTCGAACATTCAATAAAGCTAAATATGTGTTCAGCATCTGAACCAAACTCAGTAGAGTCAAGGCCATCAAAATCTTCATTGGTACCTTATTCCACTCTCCCGGGAGAGCGCTTTTGGAGGAGGTTTTATCGTTATGTGAGCAACGACTAAAAACAATAGTGTCGCCCAGGTTGCGCACTTATGTAGTGAAGATTCAGTTGTACTTAGATCCACAAACTTCTGTAAATAAACACTGGGGTCCTTTTTGGTTGTGGGTAGCCTATCTAGACTACAAACGTTCCTGAACGTCTGTGACAGTTTGGTGAACCTGTGTTGAGTCTGATCGTGTCTCCTCATGCTTATAGGTATAAAATGCATTCTCCTCTAACTGCGAAACAAACAGTAACCTTGATCAGAAGATACTCAATCGAATTTGATTTTACCGGCGGTGGTTTTCTTTCTGGAAGCATCTTTGTTTTGTGCGTATATTCGGAACCGCCGTCTGCCGTTCTAAGCGAAATTTCCATTGGTTGCGGAACGTATAACAGTGATTTTATTCTTGTATATTTAGAACCGTTTTCGGACAGTTTCCTCAGATGTCGTTCATGACGAGATGCTTATATGCTCGACCTTCTGTAAAATAGGTCATTATGAACTACCATTGTTTATGCCCCAAGTTAAACTCCAACGCGAACTATAGCGAAGCATAATTCATCATGTATATGTAAAGTAAAAAGGTAAAAGAAACTGGTTGTTGAAAAATTGTGTTGCACCACTATGTTCTAGCTTCCTTACCTCTTGTACGCATTAAATAAATAACAATCGTTCGGCTGTAACACACTTTCGGTGCCTAGCTGCCATGCTACCCGATGGAAGCACGAGGGCTGGGATACTGCCAAGTTTCCCAAACCTAGACAGGTCGGGTTCGAACCACAAACCTTCCGATCAGTAAATTCGCGACATAACCACTTGAGTCATCTCGTCCGCATTACTGGGGTTCGATCAGATGGCCGTTGATCTGTTCGTCGAACCTGACAATTGGCTTGCAAACGTTTCTTCTCCAGTTGAGGGGACATCGTCAATGCATAGTTAGATGGGTCTTTTTTCATAAAGGAAACTACTCACAAGGTTGCTGAAAACTCTTCGACAGCTCACGACCGGTTTCGCCCTTCTTGGCGCTCATCAGGTAGGCGCAGTCCCCGAGTTTCCGTCAACCTTATGTTCTACTTGAACCCAAATTGGACTGTTTTCGAAAAATACATTCACTTGCAAATCATTTTGGTTTTCACGAGAGACTCAACTGAATCTCTCGTTTGTGATATTCTACAACTGAGTGAATGGATGGGTCTTGTCTGCATTGCCACTGTCATTTTTCAGTGAATGGTATTCCGGGCATGCCTTATGCCAAATTATCGACCGAGCCAAGCCGAATCCACCTATGTGGCAGACTAGTTTATCAGGCAGCTGTTCTGCAACGAATAATTTAATCTCTTCGCATAGTGGATCCTCAAGAAAGGTACAAACCAGCCACGTGCCAAGCTAACTGTGATGCACAAACTAAGAACAAGTCAAATCGAAAGTAATGTGAAGAATGTGAGGAATTTCAGGGAACATATAGAATGCGTTTTTTCCCAAGCCAAGTGCAATGAAGACAAGTTAGTAGGCTTTGACAGGGCTTTTTATCCCACGTGTATACAGTGTAACAAACAGCAAGACTAGTGGCTCAAAGCTGGCTTTCAAGGGCTGTAATATGAATGATTCCGGTAAAATGTACGGACAAACTGAAAAAACTGCACCTCTTTTGACCCTCTTTCAGAGTCTAACTTTGGCACGTGATTGTACCAAAGTGCTAGTGAGCACACCATACCGATCCTTCCTTCCTTTGTTTTCAGACCCCACTGCATTGTTCGTCACAGAGATACGCAAATGGGAGAACTACAGTCAACTTCCTGATCCCAAGCTGATGCTGACAATGTTGGCCTGTGGTGCAGTACCGTTGGTGGCAGATTGTAAGAAAGTTCACTTCATAAGTGGTTCAGAGGATAGAATCTGTGGAATCCGCATCAGCCAGTTTCCAAACAAGTCTGCCTTCTATGATTGGGTCAAGTCAGGTAAGAATAGGAAAATACAGCAATCTTCTCATCACGGAGCAAGACAACTCACCATCATCATCATCATCATCATCATCATCATCATCATCATCATCATCATCATCATCATCATCATCATCATCATCATCATCGACAGCATGAAATCAGTGTTCAACGCCGGTGCTTCACTGCCGTACAACCATGACTTATTTGAAAGCCTTATTGTAAAGAAAAGATCAAAGGTGGACAGGGAAGGGACATAGTGCTTGCTTACCACAATCATTCCGAGGTGCCTACACCTCCAGACATTCACTCAGGCAATCTGGATAGAAACTGACAACAAGCACGCCACTGACATCGGTTGGTAGCCATATCTCATGTGAACCCGCTTACTGGGACAGCCTTTGTAGGGAGGATGCTCTCTCTATATTCAGCTCTTTATACTGGCTACTGGAACCGTGTAAAATCTGTAGTATAATGAATGCCTTCCTGTAAAGATCACGTTTATCGTACATCAAGAACCGGCACTGCGTTGAAAGTTAGAAAAACCCTGTCAGCAGGCCGAACAGGAATCCGGATTGAACCAGAGACTTCCGCACAGTCTCATTGTAGTTGCGTCACTCTGTTAGGGACGTTTTTGCAATGTGGGACAACTCCAGTATCGGGGCTCATCAAAGCTGAGTTAGTTCTTTACAGAGGTATGTTCATGATGTGACACCATCAAGCGACACTTAGCTCATATTTCTATGTTGTGGTGAGGTGCAGAGGATAAAGTAACGGTTGTGTGAGTCGAAGTATCGGTAGCCCGGATGAGTTTACTGGCTATTGATCAGGTGGCTGTTCATCTGACCACCAACCTTGACAGCTGACTTGCAAATATTTCGTCACTGTACGAGGGGACATCATCAGTGCACAGCTGAATGGAGATATCATCTTTCCCTGCGTGAGTTTACATTGCATTTGAGGATTGTCTGTTATCTCCTAACGTGGTTGACTACTTGGAAGACCGGATTTCGTGAGTTGATTTGTCCACTTGTAATTCATGCTTTGTTGTCACTTGATACTTGGGTTAGTCTTCCCAGCGAGGTAAGGAAGTAGCCTTCAAAAAGGTATCAATTTCAAAGCCTATCTTACTGGACCGAAGCGAAGTGATCTTAATCCGGGGTTGAGACTACTACAGGTCTACTTTTGTGGATACTGGTGATCAGCTGATAGCTAGTTTAGTTTATCACAATGCTGAATTAAGTTGCCACACCCAATACTTCAGAACAAGCGTCATTACATCGTTATGAACAACACTGCTCACATCCACCCCCCAATTACCGCATTGGATCTGTGAATCGTATTTCTTTAGTTTGTGTTAGCAAAATGTTTATTGCTAGCGGACTTGTGCTCCTGTTAACATGCACTTATTTGTCAACAAGCGTTTCAATGCATACAGCCATGCTTACTGTGGCTTGACTATCCTGGTTGGGTCTTGATACGACCCTTGTGATTGCGGATTATCCTAGCATAGTGAGAACAAACAAATTCGTGGCGCATGGATAAAACCTGAGTCACTGTAGATGATTATGGTTGATGGTATAGCCGCCTCGGAAAAATAGTGGTAGGCTGGCACTAAGTCCCTACCTCGTCTTTTATTCTTTCGATCACGATAAGGCTTTCAAGTGAATCATGGTTGTACGGTAGCGAAGCACCGGTGATAAACACTGATGTCATGCCGTCGATGATGATGATGATGATCGAAATTCGCCGTCCTATTTCCACATTATATTAAATATATTATAAACTCTATGTACACATTTAATATGCCCACTGATGTGTAGTTAGTCCCCTTTGGCAGACCACCGTTCAGGCCTCACGTTGTTAAATTCACTCCTTCACCTCACCAACACCTCTGGGAGACTCTAGCATTTGTCCTGGTATCTGAAGACGTCTAAAACTATATCTTTCTGTTTCAGAGTCATTAAAGTGAATTCAAGTTTCATGAGAGCGGATAAGTATATCACCACTAGTGTGTAAAATATTCCAACTATGGATTGTACTCCATGTGGGTATCAAACGTTGGACGTGGTATGTGAGGCACCATGTTGGAAAGAAGTAACCCAAATCCTCAACAGACTGATCTTTTCCCGAGGCCATCACACATTAAACTGTACTTTTCTGAAATGTTGCGTACCCTCTGAGACACTGGCCCATATCGGAAGGAGTCTGCGGATGTGGATGCCACTTGTGACAAGATACCTCACCAGGAAATTTGTTTTGTATCAGTCCTGGCTCTATCGTTCACATACTACGCATACAGTCCTAGGTTGATAGAGTCGCACATTTTGCTCTGGCGGGTGTTTAGCTGAACTGCCTTGGAACCGAGATCCCGCAAAGAAATCTAGAAACGAGTGCGCTACATAGTAGGTTTAATTTCACTGCGCTCGCCAAGTTGGGTTTGCTTTTGTCAGGTTACAACATCCCAGTAGGCTAACAAAATGGATTTGGCCTACCTACTGGTCCTACTGTGCTCTTTCAGGACACAATAGATGTCTCTTTAGAAGGATCTGTTTTTGAGGTATTACCGTCCAATTTGAGCTTCATGTACGTGGGAATCATATTTGGAAGTACTGACCACTTTGCAAACAAACTTGTGCATACTGTGTCTATTTATTGCTCCAAGGTTGAAAATCTCAGAACGCGAACGTTGCCGTAAGACTACTGCTTGGAACTCAACGCCCCCAAATGACCATGTGTGCGTCGAGCTGGACTGACCTGGTTTGCATCTAACTAAAAGGGAAATCTGCAGACCTTAGGGTGTTACGCCTGAGGTAAAATTATAACAAATGATGTGAGTATTTATATCTCAGAATGCCCTAGATGGTGAAATCCAGCAACCGACATGAGAATGTTTTAAGAGCCAGGTATGAGAACACCTATGAGGAAATTAGCTGATTCCTGATTTCATATTTTAAACTATTCTTGGTGTTGCTTCACGTGCCCGAAATGGTTTAGTTGGATTATTCGAAACTAGAGGACAGCTGACTAAGTACACACGTGGAATTGGCCATGATAGGGCCACTATGCTGGTTGAGCTGATTGGAAACACATCTGAAATGACCGCTATTGCCGTTTCTTCTCAGAGTATGTCCTCAGTTTCTCCGGGGGTCAAGGCCGTAACTTCCGCCTCGTGTTCTGTAGCACCAAAAAATTGAAGTCAGAAAAAGCCGTCAAGAAAAGTCATCAGCAACACTTAAGCTTCATGCCCATGAAAAAGTATGATCACAAAAGTCAACCTAATGGGTTTGTTTATTTTGGAATAAGTAAAATGATTTGGTCATTCATTAGTCCGTTGTCAGCTGTAAGAACCGCATACTTGACGTACAGTGGTTGCAGCTGCCACAGTTTCGTTCACCGATGATTCGGGGAGGTGGGGTAGGCAGCTGCGCATTGCAGGCGGGAGATGATATACTGGTGCATAAATCCAGCACTGTCAGTGGGCTGTCAAGTGGGGAGAGGCTGGAAAAGAATACAATAGCTTGGATGCACGAGCGCTATTGAGGGTGCGACTGGGCATGTCTGACAATGTCTCCAACCATTGATGTGGCCCGTCTCGGGGACCCCATCCAGAAAGATGGCAATGACCAGCGCAGCTGAGATTGTTAGTGATGGCTTTCATGCTTCGCTTCCAAGTCATTGTTTGACCGTCTCTGGATCATTTCTATCCCTCACGTGGTTGTACGAAAAGAACCCTTTGGAGAAGTCGGTCGACTGGTATACGCAGCACGTGGCCAAGCCATGCAACCTATACAGTGTGATCAGTTCGTCTATCGAGGGTGAGATATTTCTTCCGTATACCATTCGATGTGCTTCAGCATTGTTGATCAGGTGTTCCCACCAGACTCGGGCAATGCTGCGAAGACACCGATGGAAGAGAATTTTATTTTAAACAAGAGAGAAAAATGGAGTACAATTCTCCAAGCGTTCATTTGGAGCCAATCGACTACGGAGGTCATACTATGCGTTCAATTCCCTGTGGCTAGATGAGGGATTTATCAGTGCTAGATGAACTACGACATCGATGTTTCCGTTGCATTCGTCTGAACCACTTTAAAGCTGCAGCGACAAGCCATGCACAGATCCAAACCATTGGGACGGGGAGGTCTGAAAAATGCCGCGGTTTCACATTTAAATTTGCCGGAAACTCTTCGCTGAAAAGACACCTTGTAACCAAATGTATCCTAGACTTGCTTTGTTGTGCCGTTGTAGGAAACTTCACTATGACAAGGTATTGTACAATCCATTTACAGAAATCAAGAGCGTCCTGATCACTCCGACTACATGTCAGCTGATCGACGTTCAAACCGCGGCAAGGCTGAGCAAATGAACCATGGGCAAGCATGACCAAAGTGGAGACCATTGGTATATACTAAATATCATAATCCTGTCCAGGTAGAAGGGAGACTGTTCAAATCACTGTGAACTTATTTGGAAACTGAGTTGGCTTTAATGAGAGACTCAACTGCATCTCATTCGCTTATAATATTCGTTTAAGTATTCCGTTAACATAACATCATCATCAGGTGAGGAAAAGTCACCACCTGCGTACACTTCAGTGTTTAGGTGGGAGAGCCCAAAGGTGGGTGAAACCGGCCGTGAGTTGTTAAAGAGCTTGCCGTGACTTCATAAGTACTAGTTGATGATACCTCTCGTAGTATTGTTTTTCCCTCCGTGTGCATGGAGTTGGAATACGAGTCCCTATGAAGTTTCGGGCCAGTCTGCTCCCACACCTTGACTATCACTTTCAGTGTCACAGTGTAATGTGTATTTTTTTCAGAGCAATTCTCTTGAACACCCCAGAGTTAGTTCAGAACACGCCTCACTCTATCGTTATAATCCGAGTTACTGCACACTTTCTCGCGGCGTTACCTAACAACAGCAGCACATCAGTGCAATGCAGTGCAAGCCGGAATCTACTCATCAATACTATCGCATGCGACAGCTGTGTTCTTAGGTGCGCCGAGCAACGGTGAGCG